TTTATTTATGACGTTATTTTCTTTATCATTATACTTATTGCAATCTTCAACCGGAATTTTAGGAAAATTATGTAAAGACAGGCCACTTTTATTATCAGAGAATGTGATCAGTTTTCTCCTATTGTACTTTGCCACCAGTTTCACACATTCAATCACCAATTGAAACCTAATACAAACTTCTAAAGCTTAGATGGCGTAAAGTAAATCAGTATTTAAGATAAATGAATCAACTGATTTAGATGCATTTCCTACTTTTATATTTAGTGCAAGTTTGGTAAAGTTGCCAATTACCCTGTACCTGTTCAACATTAATGAAATTTTACTTATCTTTTTATACATTTAATTTTTCAAAAATTTTAGTAAGTATAGTATTTAAAGTTTGACCTGTGTCGTCATTTAAAAAGATTGTATTTATAAGACTTCGGTGGTTGTCACTTTGAAAGCTTTCATTTTTATTTTGAAGGTAGCCGGATATTATCAATTTTGTAGTTGCTGTTTGTTTGTCTGTCTTCTTGATGGGATTGATTCTCAGCATTAAAGAAATTTGGCTTGTTTCTAGTTTAATACAATATTTACATGGCCTAGGAGGTAACTTCTGTGAAGCAAAATGACTTGTTTGATATTTACTTTTATTAAATCTTTCCTCAGGAAATCCAGGTTTATATTGGGCTGTTTGTTAGAATTTTAACTTTATCAGGAAAAAATTTGATTTTGTTGCAGATAATAATAGTAGTTTGATTTACTGAGTATTTTTATAAACGGCAACTTTATCTAACTTTGATATGGAGAATTTCGGTGTCTAAATTTTGATTCTGCCTTTTTAAAAATTTTTTTACGTGTGTGTGTGTGCACATCCATTTGGAATTTCCTTTTTTTGTGTGTTCATCGATTCTATAGGCACTTTGGGTTTTTCAAGAATTAGTAATTAAAAGTTCAGAATTAGCAATTTCAGAATTTAAGGGCATTCAACATATTTAAAAAATCCAATTACGGAATATTAAATTTTTTACAATTCTATTTTATTAATTTGGTTTGGTTTATTAATTAAGTTTTGGTAGTGAATGTTTAAAACAAACAGGTTTGTCAAAACAATTTTCTAGAATTTACGAATTTAAACATTCGCCTGAAGGACCTAATGCAGACATATATTTAAATTACTTGAATTTAGTGGAGTTAAAAATGCTCTTCAGTCTAATTTATTAAAGCATAAATTTATTACTCTTGCTACTACTGAGAGGAATATTATCTGAAACTACGGAGAATATGTAGTAGTTTTCCCCTATTTTCAGAAATAAACTACTTTTTGCATAGGTTAGAAGATAGATATACCATGGATGGTATATCTATCTTCATAGCAAATATTACATAGTTTCATAGCAAATTTTGTTTTACCTATATAAGTAATATAAATTTGAAGTATAGAAAGAAGGAATTTCGAATACACCCATAGTATAATTCATGAAATTTCAGATGCTGATAATTATCAAAATATAAGCAAATTATGGCAAGATTACGTAGTAGGGATACAATCCTGCAAGAAATTGTTTGCATTTTCGACATTTTAAAAACATTTTTTCAGTATTTGAAGCTTCATGATTGACTTTGGACTTATCTGAACTTATTTTCTTTGTACTATTTTATACTCCATCTTTCCCAAATTAATTGCTACATTTAGGTCGAAAATTTTGCCCCAAATTAGTTGCTACATTTCAAATAGGTGGAGTCATAAGTAACTCTAAAAGCAATGCAATAGATAGACACCAGTTAAACTATACTACTAATAAATTCACGATTCAATGACTAAAACATAGTTTTAAGCATATATTTAATTAATTACTGCAGGAGGAGTACTAACAAAATGGGATGCTTCCTCAAGGCTTACGAGCTCTGGATTTTTTAAACTAATTTGGTACTGATTCAAGAAGAAGAGGAAGGAATTCTTGGTAAGTAAATGCTGTTGTTTGATAGCATTGCGCATTGAAATTTCTGAAAAATATTCAAACAAAATCAGAAAATCATATCAATAATAAGTGCAAAAGTATGCAAATGTAGCAACGAATTAGAGACAGAAGAAGTATTACATATGTAAGTAAAACAGCCATTTTCCATTGCTTCCTTAGCACGTCCCACAAAACTTTATGAATATGTCTGATTAGTTAGTTAAGCATGTTGCCTAATCATTAAATTTAGTGGAAAACGGTTTTTTGAGTCCATTTGAATGCAATTTTTCACAATAATAATTTAAAATTATAAAATTAAGGTAATTTAGATAAATAAAAATACCAACTCGAAGACTAATGAAGATTAACTTCAGAAAGGTAGTGCGCATCTAGCGGTGTGCGATAACATTTCCAGCTGTGTTCATAATCACTCTGTATACATAAACCCGATAATCAAAATTTTTAAATGTTAAAAACACTAACCAATTTTTGCTTCTTTAAATATTGTTACACTACCATAGTGTTATTGAATGGAAACTAAAACTTTATAATTTATAACTTCGCCTAACTTTTAGGAGAGGCAATTTGCAATGAAAGAATTTTATTATTTTAGAATGATCTTTAATAGCATATTTGTGCAGTTGCAATTTATTTTTATAAAAGTGCATTTTATTTTTTAAGGGAGCCTTTGCCAAATTTATTTTCTTCTTCTTCTCATTATTATTATTATCAGTTTCTTACAACCCGTAACTCTTTCAAAGCTGCCTACACTAAATTTAGGTTGTTAATGACACAAAATCAACAATGACAGATTGATAATTTTGAAAACGCTTGATTTTTCTTTTTTATAATGTTGAAAAACTTATGTAAGGAAATTTTAGGCTTATAGGCAATATGGGTTCTTGCTGCTATTTATTTATTTATAATTTTTTCTTTTTTTTTTGCAGCGTCCCCATTTTCAAACAATTTAATTAGTATATTTTTTACAAAACGGCTTAAAAGGTATAATATTTTTTTTTTCATATTTTCATTTACTTCATGTTTTTATTAAAAAAAGAAATGACTGTGTTTATTATAAAAAATGAGAATAGAAGTATTTGGTAAAATTTAGAGATTTGAATTTTTTTTTCTCTTCATTATAATTTTTTTTTATTTATTTATTTATTTATTTTTTTTTTTGTTTTGCTTTTTTAAAAAAAGTGATTAGATTTATTTTGTTACCTCCACTAATAATGACCAAGGGTCCAAATTTTCGAAGACTAATAGAAAGCTAAAATGAAATTGTTAATGAAATGTTATTCATATATTCATATTATATGTAATTTATACATTCACAAAAAAATTGTAACTGTAAATTTATGAGTTTCCCTTGCATTTACTTTCGCAAAGATTTAATTTTTTTCTCTGTACAATTTTTTTTATCTATCTCTTCAATTAAAAAATTTGTGCTTTAAAGACAGCTTAAATTAACAATTATATTTTCAAGCATTAGAATATAATGCCTAATACCATTGTTTTTTTTTTTTAATATAAATTAAAATTTTAGAGTTTTGAGGGTATTAGAAGATTACAGCGAACTATTATTAGAATCACAACAGTTTTTTTCTTTTGTTTTTTTCATTTCAGATTTTAATAGCTATGAAATAAGTGTCCCCAACGAAACTTTAATAAAAAAAACTTTTTAGTGATAGAAAATAACTACACTAATATGTTTTTAGAGCAGCATGTCGCGAACAACTAAGTAGAATATAAAAATGCTGAATTTGACAATCACCTTCATTCCCTGCACAAAAAGGGAATTTCAAAACTCCTCCGATAATCTGACAAATATTTGAAAGTTGTAAATTTAAATATCTTGTGCGTTGAGAAAAATAACACATATATATTAAAGTAAATCGTATCAGCATTTGGACGCATTTTAAAATATTGCCAACTTCCCAAAAGCAGCAATAAAAATATAATTTTCCGTACATCTGAATGGTCTATTAGTTGATTAGTTTTATAACAAAAATTATTACATGTTTTGCATTGCTCTGCTCATATATTTAAAAAAAAAGAGAGAGATGTAAGTAAATGGAATCAAAATCTTCAAGCCAAAATAGTACAGATATAACAGGACTTGTAAATGGTATCTTCTTTGATGCCAGAACATTCTAAGTTATAGTTAAATTTGAAAACTCTGAATAAACTCATTTAAATCTTATTTTTTTAAAAAAATGAAAAATGAGCTTTAAGCGCCATCTGGTGTCCTACATCGGTACTGAATATTGCTCAGGTATATTTATAGTGCAAAAAACGATTGTTAAAGGACATCTGTTCACTTGAAACATCTAGTATAAGCTTAATATACTTTATTCAATAGTTATCAAGAAGAATTTTCAACTAACCAACTCTTTTAAACCACGTGCTTGTCACAGTAGTAATCAGCATTAAATCATTTCTGAGGGAGGTTCTATATTATAAAGAAGGAGGCGCTTAAGTTTAACTCTGAATTTCCGAGAGGTACTTTTGTGAATCTAAGCTATTCCAGAAGCTATCGCAAGATATTGTCAATCTTTTGCATGGCCTATAAGTTTCTATGAGTTAAAGATAGTTTAAGGAGTTATAAGTTCAAACATTTTTAAAGTTAGAGCTAAATATATCATTATAATAGAGGTGGTCCCTCTAATATAATAGGGGTGGCTACTCAGGGCTTTAAATCTCGTTTTAAACCAATATTTTCACATTTAAAGTCATAATCCAGAGTAAAAAACAATAACGTATGATTGAAATGAGCATATACTAGACCAATCAAGCGTTTCAAAGCTTAAATTTACAGTTCTCAGTAACTACCATTCAAGGTAAATAAAGGCGGGTAACAAACCCCACCTTTGAATCCCACCCATTTTGAGGATGCAAATTGTCATTTCTTTTTACAAAATTCTATTTGTTTATGGCATCGTTTTAAAAGTTTCTATGGATAAAAGATAAATTTTCTAAGTTATTAAAAAGGGAAAAGACTATAAAACAGAGAACAACGAAGTAAAAAAAGCTTAGAAAGATCTTTGAATATGAACTCACCTTGAAATTGGAAAAATGAAGAGATTTCCTTGATTTTCGTAATCTTCGTTTTTCAATTTCATAAAATCTGAAAACAAAAATAGATATGTCAGATTTTAAATACAGAGCTTAAAAATTTATAAGTAAAAATTTAACTTCAATATGTATTGATATATTCCCCTTTTTACCATGCAATATTAATCTATATAACTATTTAACAATACATCAATACTACAAACGTAACACGTTGTGAGCATGGAACACTTTATGATTGATTATCATTTACACCATAAATACTCATTAAAACTATATTTTTATAAAAGAAGATGATTATTATTTAAGTTAAACTAGTTTTATAGTTCAAAGAAAACAACTTTGTTGACCGCTTACAAGATTTCCCGTGTTTCCGTTGCTATCATAAACTATTTCAAATCTAAGACTTATATAAAAAGTTTCTACCATTATAATTAACTGAATTCAGATTTAATAATTATATTTGTCGCGATGCAATTTAAAAAATAAATTCGTGTAAAATCTGAAATTTTCATTCCTCAAAGATCCTCTACGTGGTAGTACAGCGAGCGCTGATCAAATGAAAATGTCTTTTTGAAAATGTAAAATGTTAATATTTANGAAAAGAAGCAGTTTTATATATTTGCCAGAATTATAAAAGAAATCTTGATAGTTACAGATATTTCATTTTTTCGAAAAAAACGCTGGAATGAAATGTTTTACGTACCAGGTTTTTCTCCTTTCCGTCTTGCTATATAAGGGCTTTCACCCATGGTGGTAGTGCAGCGAGCGCTGATCAAGTGAAAATCTCTTTTTGACAATGTAAAATGTTTATATTTATTTTCAAAAATAATTCAAGAGTTCAAAAAGTGGTTGCAAAACTACTCCTTTTTTTCTCTCTGATCATTACAGTCCCAGATTTGCTTAACATCCTACTTGCCAATTTTTCGAAGGCATTTAAAGTTACAGCAAATATTAGGCTTCAAAATTTTATCTTTGATTTAATAAAATTTATTTACAAGCGATTTAAATAAAATTAGAAGTAGCTAGGATTAGCACGTACATAACCGTTTATAACACTCACAAAATTTGGAACTTCTTTTAAAGGAAAGGGAATGGTAAGTCAATTATTTCATCGTTAGTATTTCTATTGGATGAGCAAGACATTCGCAAAATATTTTGATAATATTGAAATATACATTTATTTCTAACATCAGAAATCTATTATATTTATTTTTTATGGAATTGGGTAATTAAATGAATTATGAAATTTGAAATTATTCTCTTAATTTAATGACAAATATGTACAAATGTTCTTTCCTTTAGGTAATGTGTTAAAAATTATGAAGTTGTATCAGATTTATTATGGAACGGCTGCAATATATTTTCACTGAAGAATTATTCAAAATCAAAACTTTAAGGAAAGTAATACTAAAACTTATTCATCTTAGTTTTCTTAGTCTTACAACAATAAGTTTATTGAGGACCCTGAGAATTCTGTTATAAATAAGTAAATATATTTTTTTCTCATTAAGCTTTGGTTAAAACTAATTTATAGTAACCCGCATTGGTTGAATGACTTCTGAGGTGACTTTAAAGAATAAAAAAAGATCTCAATCAAAATTCTGTTATCCTAATTTCTTGAATCCTAACAAGTGCCCTAAGTTTGAAAGCATTCTTGAAAAGATAGAAAGCAAAACTGACAGTAGAAGATCATTTGATAACCAAAAAAAATTCAAATCTAATTTCTCAAGACCTGGTTTGAGTTAAGTTTAATATCACTAACATCTTAACCCGCCGGCAATGCTTCTACAACAGGCTATAAATGCAAGCAATAACCTATGTGTATCTCTTTCTTTCCAAAATCAAATAAGCATTAACTCCTCATTTAAATCAATCAAGGACTGTCGAATATTAATTATTAACAATAGACACTTCTGTTCTTTTCTTAATAGCCCTCTCAATAGCCCTGTGAAATGTAAATAATACCTTTACCAAATTCTCAGAATTTCTTGATTTCATCGCAAAATAGAATCCAGAAATTATAGCAGTTACAGAGACAGACATCAAACCTAGCAATAAACTTAAAATCCCTAATTTTATAAGTGTGATCCCTAATTTTATAAGTGCATTTATAAGTGTGATCGAATCATCCGAACTGCAGGCGGTAGTTCCATTTTTATCCACAGAAAATACAAGTCATCTGTTTTTGACATGAACAGTAAAGATAATCGGAATGGAATTTCTATTATTATTTAAATTAAGTACAGAAACATCAAGATCTCTTCTATTTACAATCCATCACATAATAACCGTAACGAAAATTATTTCAAATGCCTTTTCTCTTCTAACGTTGACGCCATTGCGTTTGCAGATTTTACTCACTAAGAATACTATTTGGAACTGCAGAAAGAATAAAAAATAAAAACTCGGAAATCGACTTCACAAAACAAAAGAAAAATAATGACTTACTTTTACGTACCCAGCCAACATATACTCATTTTTCCAGCCGATATCCCTTGATATTATCATTACAAATCTATCAAGATAATATGTCAAGATAATATGAACATTTATCAAGATAATATGTCCATCAATGAAGACATCAATTCTAATACAGAAAACCTTCAAATGCCATTTCTACTGCAGAAGTTGACTCAACTGAACTCTTTCCTATCAATGTGAATAACTGTAAACTTCCTAATCACATCAAAGAACTTATCAAACTTACAAACACCAAAAGATACCAACATACCTTCAATCTTGACCCCAAAAGACCTCGACACACAATCAACACACATCGTAAGGATCTCTGAAATGGAAAACTCAATAACTTAAATATTAAAGATAAATTCATATGGAGAATGACCAGAGCCCTCAAAAGATCTTTTTTCAGCAACCTTCCTGTCGACGGGCTTTATGCCAAAACAAATACACCGCGCAGAACCAAGTCGAAGTTTTCGCCAACACTACAGAAGAGAAATTTAATATTAATAGAGACATCTCCTGCCCGATACTGACAACTTTGTTAGTGATACATATGAAAGGATCACTAATACCTATCCCAGTATTCCAATTACTATTGGACTAACGACCGATGAAGACTAACGTTATTCACATGCTTAACAATAGGAAGACGCCTGGCTATGATGATGCCACAAATTCGATAGTTAAAAATATGCTTCAAAACTTAAATTGGCCAGATCACAAACATCTTCAACGCTTGCATTAAAAATGAATGCTTTCCCAACGAGAGGAAGAAATCGGATATTATTCTTTTTTCTAAGCCTGAGAAAGATGCTTCGTCTCTTGAAAACTACCATCCCATAGGTCCCTTTCAATGCTCTCAAAAATCTTCGATGATGATTAGATAATTATCCGCAAAATATATCAAAGCAACACGGATTTCGTATGAATCTCTCAACTAAAATGCAACTTGTAAACATACTGGAATATATCAGCAATACCAAATTCAAATATGAAACTGTCCCCATACTCGTGCTAAACGCCACCAAGGCATTCGATCGAGTGTGGCCTAAAGAAATAATCGTCAAACTGCAATTCGTGGGCATCCCCGACGATCTCCTTTTAATCCTAAATTCCTTTCTCATCAATCGTCAATTCAGAATCAAGATTATTAATACCTACGCATATAAAAGTCGGCGTACTACAAGGAAGTATACTTGATCCTCTACTTCACATTCTATTTACTGCTGATTTCTCCATTAATGATAAAAACCTAAATGAGTATACTGCCATATATGCTGATGACCACGTAGTTATCACTAGATCAATTAGTCACAATCAAATAATATATGAAATGCAGAAGAAAATTACGACATTGAAACATGGTGCTCTAAGTGGAAGACCAAACTACATCCCGACGAATGCCAACTCTTAGTGTTTAAAGTTAGAAGAAATGACCCCAAATATCAGAAATCAATACCAATAACTTCATTATACTAAGCTGTAAACACTAAGTCATCTAAAAAATACCAAATACTTAGGCATTGCAATTATTTCTAACTTACCATGGAGCACCCATATCAACAATAATATTAAAAAAGCCGATGGTTGCCTACTGGACCCTAAACTCAATGTTCAACACCCAATCCTAAAATGATCTTAGATGCAATAGAGCTATATATCTTATCATATATGCGCAATACGCCCTTTATTAAGTAATGTCCAGCAATTACCATTTTACCAGTGTATCTTCAAAATAAACTCTCCTCCTTCGAAGAAAAACCTTTCAGACATCGTGTTGGTGCACATAAGTGTATTAGCTAGAATAATAGCATTAGATCCGACTTGAAAGTTGAAGATATTTTATGGAAAAACTTAGTACTAAATTTTCAGACAAAGCTAGAGAATGAAAACGACAACTGCTTGATATGGAATAAAGCTTTCAGAGTTTTTGGTAATACAGTGAACCACGCTTAAAAGAATATCATCGGTTCCAGCCAAAGCTGTGCTATTAAACGGGTTATTCGACTGAAAATGGAGTGCAATATTCAATCTTAAATTCTAAATATTTGCGAAATTTTACTTTTTAATGGTATTTAATGCATAATGTACCGTTTTGATTAAATAAACTCAGTTTATGATGAATAAACAATTCAATAATTTCAATTCATCAGTTTATGATCATAAAATATAAATGTCATTTAAAGTTACATGAAACTAAATCAATGTTAGTGAAAAGTATAATATAGATACTAAAATATTATTTGATCCCTTCCAAAAAAACTGTAATTGAAGACGATTTTTAGACCCGTTTAATTCGTCAATTTATGAAAATTAGATTTTCCCCTTTCTGTTTATACTAATACTTTCAAAACTTGCTTATTCCTTTCAAATGTATTCAGAATTTTTTTTATTTATTCATTCATTAATTTTTTCGAATCTTCGAAACTCGAGAAATTCAAAATTAATGTGCTAATCTAGTTTGTTTTTTTCTTCGATTAATTGCGCTCAACTTGAAACCAACTCAGATTTATTCACTGGATAAAGCAATGATTATTCTACTTAAGAGAGAGACACACTGTACACTAGTGTGTCAGATTTTGGAAACTT